GCGTTGCAGATCGTGCGCGCCTTGATCTGCTTCAGCTTATCCTCAGCCTCTTTGCTGTCCATTTTGATAGAGCCCTGCTTGTTGATGTTGGCTTTCCAGCCTCTATTCGACTTGCTCTGAGCAAGCCGCTCCCGGGCCTGCTTGTAGTTGGGCTTGTGGTTTCGCCGTCCAGCTTTCCAGCCAAGACGTTGAGCCTCCATCGCCAGAGTGTCGCACTCCTCCTGGCTGATCTCGTCCGGGTCTACGTCATCAATTACTCCTTCGAACTCGTCGATGTCCGCTGCAAGTGCGTCGTAGTCCTCATCACTCGGGAAAACATCTTCATCGCACGGTGCACATTCATCTCCGAGGAGAGCTTCTTCCTCTTCGTCGTCGTAGTCCACCGGGTAGGCTCCGTATCGTCCATGTCCACGATCGTCTCGGCCTGTGCTGTCCAGCTGTATCAGCATGGCCGCCGCCACGTCGTCCCAGATGTATTCGTTGTTGCATTGGCCAAGGATTGCCTTGTGTTTTTGCATGTTGATGTTCGCTAGCTTCAGTAGAAAGTATGTCCGTAGGTCCTCGCTGACTGTCGTGTTCGTTGAAAGTGGCTTGAGCCGTTCGTACTCCGTCTCTCTTCTCGATCTGTAGTCCTGCACAGACTCCGTTCGATTGCGAAAACCTCGGAAGAAATATTCCTTGAATGCTTGCTGCTTCTGTAGTGGTGCGATTCTCTCGCACGCCTGTCGTACTGTAGTTACCACCAGTTTGACTGCAGCAAGTGGGTCATTACCTGCTTCGTCCAAAACTGCCTGCGTATTGATCTCAACCTTCTTTCGTGTGAGTGTCCACGCTCGTCCATTCAGAGAATTCTTGAGCTTGATCGCATAGAGCTGTTTGATCTTCTCCTCGCTCGCGTGGTAGCCGAGTATCGCACGCTCCTCGAACTCCTCTCCGTAGGATGGGTCGCCGTTGTAGTGTACCACGCCCTCTTTGTCCACGAAGAGGGGGCCGTCATTGAACTGCTGCTGCTGCCTGGACGTCATCTTGATGACTGTGAGGCTACTGAGCTTGTTACCGATGTAGTAGCTGTCTCGATCGTTGCTGTAGTTCTGCTGCTCGCCCGGGATGTTGTTGATATCTCGATTTCCGTCCAAGCTGTTGTAGGTAATGATTTTGAGCGTTTTGTCGATCACCGTGATCTGTTGATGAGCGCAGTGGTTAAGCACCCCGAGGATGTAATTGAGCGCCAGCATATATGTCTGCAAGGCCACTCTGTATGTAATCCTCGTACCGTGGACTGATTCAGCTCACGCTACCAGTGTAAATACTGATCCAAATCTCTCCACCCACAACTCCTTGATGCAAGAAGAAATAGATAGAGTGTGATCTGTTCTTATTCCGATGCCAAGCTAGACAGTCGTAGAATGCGCCCCACCCCCCCGCCACAGCTGGGCGGGTCCAAGCCACAAATGGCAATAGTGAACAAGAGAGTGCAAGCATGTGCGAGTGAGAGCAATAACATAGACAATTCTAAACATCATCCTATAACTCACATCCTTGCTAATATAACTTTCACACCTGGTTGCACCCCCCGACCCGCTCGCCCAATGTCGAGGCCCGAGGACGCCCCCATGACGCTTGCAAAACGCTCCAGAAACGCCTCTTCCGCACACGTGGACCAGGTGACAATGATGCTGCTCGTCGGTGGTCCGTCGTCGTCGTCGTCGGTCGTCGCTGGTACGCTACAGGCCAAGCCTTTCCTTGAACACAGCAGCATCCGCCCGAAAAGCAGGTAATTTTGAGTGAAAAGGAGAAGCCCGGAAGACCACATGGAAAAGGTCCCATGGAAATTGTTCAACTGACACCCTCTTCGTGGTCGACTGGAACAAGAGCCTGAGCGCGCGCGAAGCGCGCGCGTGGTTCTAGTACTCGTATGTTGGGGTGGCGCCCCCCTGGCCCGACCCCGCCCCGACCCCCAGCTCGTCCGTGACCGCCTCCCTGCATGATGTTTATGCCACGTTGTTCCTCCACCGCAGGTCTTTGGCCTGGATCTGCATCGGTAGTGGACGCCCACGTCCTGGATTGCCCAGGCGGCGACGCCGCAGGTGTGTAATACGATTTTCGGGGCAGACCAACGGCATGAGCATACACTTGCGAAGCTCCGCGCGGTTTTCTTGGAGCGCCCCTCCCGGCTGCCCTCCAGCTCGTCCTTGCCCGCCTCCCTGCCGTGTCCGCGTCGGGTCCCCGCGCCGCTGCCCTCTCGCCGGCGGCCCCTTCGCGCCTCCTCTGCCGGGGGGGCGCCCTGTCTGGCCCGTGAGCGGCGCTTTGGGCGAGGGTGCCGTCGTTCCGGCCAGGCTTTCAGAGGAGGAAAAGGTAATCACATATCTCTCTCTCTATATATATATATACATATGTGTTTTTACATTTACATACACAAACATATACATTCATACACGTATACATATATACATATATATATATGAATATGTATACACACATGTGTGCATACATTCCGGCAATTTTAATACACTCACAATACATGCAGGCATACATACATACGTGCATACATGCATACATGCATGCGTGCATGCATACATACATAATTCCATACACGCATACATATATATATATATATATAGGCATACACCTACCGACCTACCTACATACATACATACAAACACCCATACAGACAGACAGAGACAGAGACAGACAGACAGACAGACAGACAGACAGACAGACAGACAGACAGGCAGACAGACATATAGGCATGTGTATATCCATATACATGTATGAATTTCACTATACGCGTATGATATATATATACGTGTGTGTATATATATATGTACGCGGACAGCTCAGCATCCTATGCTCAGGAGCCGGTCGTTCCTGATCCTCCTTTTATCCGTTATCCTCCCTCATGTATCCCTCGCCTTCTCTTTTTGGATTCAACCGCGGCGATTGTTACAAACAAGTGTATTCTGCATTGTATACTGTTCGCGCGTTGCCACAAGCAGCACTACCCTACATGCGTTGTATGCACAGGAGAGACGAGGGTGCACCCTTCACTCGTATTTCCTCCGTCTTTAGTTTCCGGATGGTCGTCGCTAGTTCAGCATAATTCTTATTTGTTTCATCTTATTTCAGTTTGTCATCTTCATCTACCTCTTCGCATCTCCCCATCTAAGAGAACAGAAGGGTGCGACATAGGACCTCCGCATAGTCGGATTCAGCCTTCACCCTTTGGCATTCATTGTTTGTTTGACGAGCTTTCGGATCGTCATTTTTTGGGGTTGATGTAGCTATTCGGCGTGTCTGGAAGATGAGAGAGGAGTGTCCATCGAGGGTGTACCAAAGCCCAAGATGACCCCAAGATGCCATCGAGACCTTCCGATTTCTGGTTCATCTTGGCACGGCCCGCCTTCCTTTCTACGCCCTAGCGCCCAAGCTAGCTAGGACTTGAGCCTGCGCGAAGTGTGCGCCATTGTTCTGGAGTGTACATGTGCTATTAACATGCAGCGCGCACACACGGATATGTATACATCACACACGCATACATACACATGTACACATGATTGTTTGTATATATATGTGTAAACATAACTACATGTTCATGGCTTTGTGTTTCTGTATACATGTATTTGTATTTCATCCATATATACATACATACTTACATCATTACCTATATATGTACATACATATATATAATGTATAGATCTATATATGTACAGAGACCGGTCGGTGCATGTGCACTTGTCGTCACGGGCGCTAGGACGACAGTCTTCCGTGGATGCCTGCGTGGACCGACGTGTAAATGTGATCCCTCATCCTTGCCGCCGGTTGCTGGCTGCTGTCGCAGCCTCCTGCTTCGGGAGGGCAACGGTCGGGTTGGGAGGAGGCGGAGGAGGAGGGGGAGGAGAGGAGGGGGAGGAGGAGGGGGAGGAGGAGGGGGAGGAAGAGGAGGAGGAGGAGGAGGAGGAGGGGGAGGAGGAGGAGGAGGGGAAGGGGTTGGAGGATGGGGCTGGGAGGAACGAGGGCATCCTTACCCGTAGGCGCCCCCGAGTGCGGAGCGAAAGCTCCGCCCATCGTCGGTGCGAGGCCCCCAGCCGGCGGCGGGGACCGAGGGGCACCGCGGCCCGCCGGGCGGCGGGCGACCGCCAGCGCCCGGCGCCCGGCCGCCCGCGGGCCCCGTGGGGCCCAAAACTGGCGCCAAGGGTGCACTTCTCTTCGCCCCCCCCCCCCCCAGGTGCTCCCGCCTTGATGGACCCAGGCAGCGGCCGAATATCGGCCTCGCTGCCGGGTCACAGCTTTCGCTCGGCATTGCTCCTCGTGCGAGAGCGGTAATGCGGACGAGCTGTTCCATGCTCGCCATTGGCCAGAAGGCCAATCGAGGGCGTGCACAACCTTTAGGGCTTCGCAAGCGTGTGGGGTCAACACTGTGTACAGCTTTGGTTGCGTTTCACCCCCCCCTGGGACGCATGAAGAGATACTAATACTATATGTTCTACTTGCAGGCGCGTGTCCGACGCGAATATATGGTACATCCATCTTGTAGTGCATCATTTCCCGAGCGGTGTGGCCAGGAAGCGCCCGCAAAGACGCATATGCTATGAGATTTCTCGGTGCGCGCGTCGCCCCTGCGGGGGGACGACGCACACATAGTACAAGTATGTTGGGGTGACGCCGACCCCCCCCGTGCATCGCCCCCCTTCATTGGAAGCGTCGCCCAGCACTGGCGCGCAGCCCTCCCGCGCCGCCTGCGGGCCCCCTGGGCTCCAAAAGGGGCACGAAGGGTGCCCTTCTCGGTGCCCCCCCGTGGAATTGTCGCCCCCATCGTCGTCGTCGTCGTCCTCCTCCTCCTCCTCCTCCTCCTCCTCCTCCTCCTTCGGAAGGTGCACCACGAGAAGTGTCGCCCCCTCCAGTGAGAGCGTCGCCCAGCACTGGCACCGGGCCCTCCCGCCCCGCCTGCGGGCCCCCTGTGGCGCGGCGACGACCCCTCGGCGCGGCCTCCCCGGCGGCAG